TCCTGAAAACCACCAAATTCGAAGTTCGTCACCAGTGCCAAACAATTCAAGCCATCTGTCTCGATCATTATGCGAATTCGACAATGGAAAACTTCAGCTCAATTTGGCTGTGACCAAATTGATTGCAACCGTTGAAAGATTCAGGTTCTCTTCTCCTTATGAATGTAAGAGCTAAATCTAGCGAAACGGAAACCCTAGAACATCAAGTCCGAACAAGAAGTACTGGTGGCCGTTCACCTGTCTGAGAGGGCATCGGTAGAACTGGCGGCCTCGGTTCCGTTCGGTATTAGCAGTGAAAACGACACAAGCTCCCTGTCCGCACGGGCAATCCTTCTCTGAAACCGACGGCTGCTGCCGCTCCGATCGATCATAATCACCCCCGCCGTTAAAATGAGGTCGGGAAGCAGAACCAGATGCTGCGACGGCCTTCATTCCAGAACTAGAGCGATTCAGAGGATTTTGTTGCCAGGAGAGGCTCTTGCTCCCTCTGAGAGCAGCCATATAAGCTCCTTCCTCCTCCTTCATCTTCGCCGCGCTATCCGTCGCCACAGTCATCTTCTTCAGCGGTTGCTGCTGCTTCTCCTCGTCTTCCTCGGGATTGTATCCGTCGAGTATCCGGCGCTTGTTGGTGTCGGAGGTGTTGATTCTGGACAGCGCGTTGGCTTCTGCGAAAGCCAACTGAGAAAGAAACTCCTCGTCGTCGTCGTCGTCGTCGTGAAAGGCTGCCATTTTCCCTCGCTTTGTTCTCTCTGAATTTCTTGGCGCTGGGGTTTGTTTTCATTTGAATTTAAGTCTTTCGCATTCCCACTCCCGAGTCCGACTATTTAGCAGGTCCGTGAACCGTAAGGCGGTTCAACCACAAAATAGTATTGGAGCAAGGTTGTCAACTCGTGGGTTCAGCCGCGGGTCGATCCACTTTGACCCTGACCCGGTGAGAAAAACGGGCCGCATGCACCCGCCGGGCCGACCGCTACAAGGTACCTGGTTGGAGGTCAAATTGTGTCATTTTTTTCATTGGTTTGCGAAATGCGCCTATTTTCTGATTTTTCTTTTCGCCTAGCTCAATTTTTGGAATGCTAAGTTGAACATTTGAATATTTATGTTATATAAGTGTGTGTGAATTTTCATTATATGTTGGATCTATATACGATATGTTATTTTGGTGTAATATTATATGTTATAACTCATATGTTAGATAAGATTTGATATAATTTATGAGAATAAGTACAATATAATGACTTTTTCCATATTACCGGGCCAAACCGGGCTAAGACGGTTGACCCATTAACCCTTGACCCACTAGCTCGACCGGGTACGGGTCAACCCGCGGGTTGACAACCTTGTATTAGAGGCTAAACCGGTAGGCGATATTTAATGGTACTAACGGTTAAATCACGGTTTTTACCATAAAATACCCTATTGCTGACTTTTTCGGTACGATCTCCGGTACGGTTTCATAAACCATGCTATTTAGACATTTAGGGTGATTTGGAAGTTGCGATTTTTTGGTGAGATTGTTACTATACATGTATTGTTATTGTTTAGAATGCATCATTTTTTATTTTTTAGCAGAAACAATACATGGATTGCTGTGATGTGACAGAAACTATTACTCAAAATGAGTGATTGTTATATCTCAGTTTTTAATTGCGATTGTTGAGATTGTTGAGTTGATATTGTTTTGTCTCGGCTTTTAACTGATGTGACATACACAATCATACATACCAAATGTTATATTTTACAGTGCATCAAATTCGATAATACATGTATAATATTATACATGCATTCACAACCAGTGAAGGAGGCAGAATCTGAAAGTACCTGTGTCCTCTTTCTATAATATAAAATAAATAATTATTTAATAAATATAATTAAAACTAATAATATCTAAATTATTTATTCATATATATTAAAAAAATACTAGACTAATAAAATCATTATTTTCATAAGCAATCACGATGCATTTTCAAATTCTCAATGTATCCGACTAAGCAATCATTAGCAAATTGGTCGCAATACGACTTTGAAACTTGTTTTTAATATAGCTCAAAGCTGAAATGTTCTTTCTACACTTGCAATGGTAACGAGTAAGGTCAAAACTAACTTTAAGACAGAGAGATCGACCTTTATTGTGAATTTTGTTTATAGTGTAATATATTTATTTATGTTAGCTTCGAAACTTGAAATAACTTGTAGTATAGTGATAAAACATGATATAAATTACAAGGTTACTTTGGTTATCGAGTGTGACATTTCTCTCCTCCTTAAGAAAATTTCAACCTTGAAATTGAGGTCATAAAAACAACATAGAGATATCCGACTCTCCTCTCTTATTACCAGTGATATAAATTCCATGCTGATGAAATCTAGTGATTACAAGGGTATATCAAGAAACAACTCTTAGGTATTTCTTCCTCATATTCTCATTGATCTCTCAGGCAGCTGCGTCTGTGCCTTGATTCATCCACACTACCTTCACCATAGGGACCTCCTTCCTTCGTAGTTATTTATCCTGGCGGTCAATAATCCTAGTTGGTTCCTCAGTGTAGGTCATATCACTATCTAGTTGGATATCTTCCAACCTAACGATGTGGGTGGGATCTGATAACCCCATGAGCATACTAACATGGAAAATTTTTTTTTTATCTTGGTCAGGTTTTGAGGTAGTGCCAAATCTATAGGTCGGATGCCTACACGCTCCAGCACTTCGTATGGGCCGATGTATCTAGGGCTCAACTTGTCATTCTTGCCAAATCTCATAACTCCCTTCCATGGAGACACTTTTAGGAACACCTTGTCTCCTACTACATAAGTTTGTCCTCTCTTGGCTTATCTTCACAACTCTTCTGCGGATCTTGAGCGATTATCATGTTTCCCTTATTCATTTCAACCTGTCCACTATGTCTTGTACTAGTTTGGGACCTTCTATCTGCCTCAACTCTTCCGCGTCCCAGTGCAAATGAGATATACACTTCCTTCCATACAAGGCCTCATGTGGTGCCAACTTTAGAGAACTATGATAATGGTTCTTATAAGCAAACTCTAGTAGAGGGAGATACTTATCCCATGACCCCTTCATCTGCAACGTGAAAGCTCTCAATAGATCCTCTAATATCTGGATCCTTCTCTTGGTCTACCTATCAGTCTGAGGTTGATAGGCAGTAGAGAAGTGAAGCTTGGTCCCCTAGGCCTTGTAAAGGCTCTTACAGAACTATTCGGTGAAGCTAGGGTCCCTATATGATACAATGGGTATAGGGACTCCATGTAGTCGTATCACATCTTGGATGTATAAATCTGCCAATGCATCCACCCCTGGCTTGAACGTGATGGGAATGAAGTGGCCAAATTTGGTGAGGCGATCTATAATCACCGAAACTCCATCATCCCCCCCCCCCCCCCCCCACTCTGTCCTTGGCAAACCATATACAAAATCCATAGTGATGTGTTCCCACTTTCACTCTGGTACTTCAAGTGGCTTTAACTTTTCCTGTTAGAGCCTGATGCTCTAGTTTCACCATCTGACATGTCAAACACTTATGTACATACTCAGCTGCCTCCTTCTTCATATTGGGGATCCGGAAATGTTCATGCAAGGTCTGATACATCTTGGTTGATCTTGGGTGCATGGCATAAGAGCTTCATCCAAAATCTAATGCCTTAAGTTTTCCACATTGGGCACGCACGCCCTACCCACAAGGTGTAGCATCTCATCATCCATTTCAAAATTGGTATCCTTCCCATCTTGCACCTTCATAATGTACTTGTCCTGAACTGGATCATCCTTAGGCTTCTCCTTGATTCAATCATGCAATAATTGTTTAATCCTCAAATTCGCCATCATGCTAGTAGCATCTTCCAATTGTAGCTCCTCATTTATAGCCATGAGTGCCACAAGCTCCTGTAATGGCATATGTTCCTTTCGACTTAGTGCATTGGCTACCACGTTGATTTTCCCATAATTGCATTTAATGTTACAATCATAATCTGCCAACAACTCCACCCATCTACCTTGTCTCATATTTAGTTCCTTTTGATTCCTTAGGTGTTTTAAACTCTTGTTATCCGTGAAGATCTTAAAAGTTTCACCAAGAGATGGTGTCTCCACACCTTTAAAGCAAACATTACTACAGCTAAGTCTAGTTCATGGGTCGGGTAGTTCACTTCGTGTGGTCGTAATTGCCTTGAAGCATAAGCAATTACCTTTTTACTATGCATAAGAACACATCTCAACCCCTTATATGAAGCATCACTATATATGGCATACCCTCCTTTTTTTATGGTAATACATGCATCGATTTGCCGTAAGCTTTCACTTTAGATAGCAGTAAGTTTCTTAGAGCATGTAGATAGCCATCGCGATCCTGTCATCCTGGTTATCGATGCGCACTTCATCCAGGTTGCGAGTGAGCTTCAGCATCCACACATCAACCACCTCAGGTTCGGAGGATCCCTTAAAGTCCTTGAAACTCATCTTCCTAAGTTTAACATAGTTCGGAGATAGGCGTCGACCAAATTGCTGATAGCGTTTGCCATTCATACTCCTACAGAAGGCAACAATATTGTGTCAGAACCTTGGAACTTTTGCACCTGTTAGTCGACGAGACTGGATGCTCTAAAACAAATTTTGTTTTTATGGAAATCTTGATTGAAAAATTTCTAAAACCTTTACCACTTGTTAAGAACATGGAAAACCGACTTCCCAGTATCTCACTTATCCAGGTAAAGACAGAGGGAGACTGGTTTCGATACTAAAATCTTGTAGCATTCCGAACCTTTTTCACAACAAAATTTTGTTAGTTTTGGATCTAAATCCTCACAGATTTTGCCTTGAAATGCATGTTATGCTAACTTAACATAAGGCCACTCATCTTAACAATCCTCCACGGTAAACATTTTCAACTTCGGAGTTGTTAAAAAAAAATCTTCATTTCACCCTAAAATGAGTGTTGTGTTGTCTACACTATTCTTTTCTTTTGAGTTTGATAATCAAATATCTACTCTACCTTATTCGAATTGACGCTGAGAAAGTTCCGGAGACATATACTAGAAAATATCAAAAGAAGACGGTCATCCCACCAAAAGAAAAGATAAAGAAAAGAAGACAACGGTAGCAGCGAAGTTGCCTGCGTACCGACTGGGTTTTGTTCTTCCGGCGCTGTTCGATTCAAATCCAATTAACTCCAATCTCCCCGAATCAGCTTATCCAGCCAGCGGTGTCTTCTCCGATTCCCCTTTTCATTTCCTCTAGGTCAGTAGCATCTCTCACTCTGATTCGGTTCGTTTTTTGTTGCCCTCGCTCTTCGACCCAAGGAAGCATCAATTTGCCAAATCACCCATTTAAATTTTCCAACAGAGAGTGATGGGGGTTGTGGTTGCCGGGAGTTGTGGCTTTCCGCTCCTGGTGCTGAAGGAGAAGAAGAGCCCGGCGGCGGCGCAACCACAGAGGAAGCCATGTCTGGGCTATTATAATCATGGAAGCTGTAGAAACCTGGAGATGGGGGTGTTGGTGGGTTTGGGTAAGAGAGGTCGTAGGCTTAGGATTGGAGCCTCCTCTCTCTTCTGCAACCCCACTGATGATCCTATCATCAAGGAGGTTCTCAAGGTGAGCGTCTGACTACTTTTTTCTATGATATTCGGACCTGGAATTTAGTCTCGCTCGTTCTTGCTGTTTCATGGTTTGTTTTTTCTATTGTCTCCACCCTGCAACCGTACATTTAGGGGATTAGTGTAAGTAAGATGGTTTTCATCCAAGCTTTTGGACTTGTGCAACTTGTTTTGGTTACTTTGTATCGTTGTAGTAGAAATAAGCAACACATAGCTGCTGATTCTTCCTTGCGTAGGTTGTAGTTCAGTAGTTTCGCGTATGTTTTCTATGTCAGAGTCGAGTGAGTGAGTGAGTGAGTGCAGGGTTAATCACTGATTAGAGGTTGGTGTGTACATTATGCATTGATTTTGTTGTGTGGACTAGGAGCCGGTTGCTTTCTTGGGAGGAATGTTTGCAGGGCTGCTGAGGCTCGATCTCAACGAAGAGCCACTCAAGGAATGGGTAACGAGAACGGTGGAAGCGTCTGGTATCAAGGAAGAAGCAGATGTTGAAGGCGGGGGAGAAGAAGCGTACAACGATCAATCCCCTCAGCAGATCATGATTGAATGAACGACTGCCACTTCGATTCTTCACGATGCGAAGTCTCCTGCATATGGGAAACGAATCGGCTGGCTCTCTTCTTTTGTTTCTGTGTTGTGTCTGTATCTGACAACGAGTGGATCATGGGATTCCAGTTGATCTCAGAAACCTGCAATTGTGGGATGGAGCTTAATGACATTCAAGTTCCTGATACAAGCATGCTCTATCTTTTGATCAAATAATGACATGTCTGCAGAACTTCGTTTCGCCATTCGAAGATCTAATTGGAGGTGGAATGAACGGAACCTAGTTGCTTAAGTAAGAATGAGCCATAAATCTATGGTCGAGCTTCCATTGCCAAGAAGGAAAATGAAACAACCGATTATGACCTAAAGTGCACAAGCATTTGAACCAAACTTAAATGAGCTCACCTTGAATCCCCAACTAAAATGAATAGCTCCAATGTACAATAAAAGCATACTCTTCTAATATCAGGGATCTTCATTGTCAGCAAATTGGTACACGAACATCTACCAAAAAATCACTGATCTCTAAAACAGGGTCACTGATCTCTAAAACAGGGCCGTACGCAAAAGAGAAAAAAAGATTTAAAGCTATCTTCAGTCTTGAGGTCTCCTTGATTCAGAGAGGGTTTCCCCTCCCTGGGCCAACAGAGCTTCTACGTTTTGATTCCTTTTAGCATCCATATCACTTACTCCTGCTTTTAGCTTCTTCAATCATCTCGTCAGCATGCCGACGCCAGAGGCTCTCCCTCTCCTTCCTGTGGATCTTGTTGTACCTGGGATCCGCTTTCAGTAATCGCTTCGCCGTTGACCATGAATCTAGGACTGTTTTCCCATCTTCCATCTTGTCTGCAGCTGCTTCAACAGTTATGACTTCAGCCAACAAGGCTTTGTAGTCTTGAACACATCGCTACAGTGGACAAGGTTTAACAGAATGGAACACTATTAGGAGTCCGTCGTAAAAAAGATGCAACATACTTAATTTTGAGCCACATGCAGTTTTTATTCAGCAAATCACCTACCTCTTGCAACATCTTCACATGCTCACGGAAAAGTCTCTCAGTTTCTGAAGGATCTAAATCAGGGTGTGTTGCACGTCCTTGAGGATCCTTCTCCAGTCTGGTCTTTGACTCTGTCCAAGATGCCTGTAGGTAAGTAAATCCAACAAGTTAGGGAGCAAGAATAACATAGGGCATTCAGCTGCTTTTCCATCAGTATTAATTGTTGTTACCCTACTCAATGCTCCATTAATCAGATATAGGCAATCAATAAGTGCACAACTGCAAAGTAATCTCAATTCTCCGTGGATATATATTCTCGTTGATAGCAAACTTGTGGTAGAACTGAGAAACTTTAGGAGGCTTCAAGTATTAGGGATTATGAGGCAGAGGGAACCACTATCAATGACATTTCAGACCACCAATCAGAAATTTACTGGCAGCAGGACAAACTGCAAAAGCTGAGCAACTATTGATATATTCACATAAACATCATACAAACATCATGGCGAACACATATACCTGTGGGTCCTTGATTGTTTCTACGAGCAAAGCCTGAAAAGAAGATGTTGCTTCCTTCCTCCTAACTTTTAGTCGCACCCTGTCCATTTCTTGTTCCTCCCTTTCTTTTCTTTTTCGCAACTCCCGCTCCCTTTCTTTCAGCCTCTCCTTAAAAATTACTCAAGAGAAAGGTGGAATTGTAAGGCAATTTACCCATACAATGAGTGAAAAGGTATCCAATAGTGTGCAGTGACACCATATTCAACATTATCAAGTTTACAAAACTAACATTATCAAGTTTACAAAACTTCACCAAATAAAAATTACTCAAATAATAATTGCGGTTTGGAGAGAATTCAAACAACCACAAATGTATGTATAGGCCACTGCCCCATCTAACATGGTCTTTCGGCATTTTTCCAAGTAACATATAAAAGCAAATTCCTATCCACTAATAAACAGAATTCTTTCTAAGCGGATGATAGCAGCTGCCATCAAATGGCTATAGACACTGCTGAAATGATCCCATACTTCAGCATTCGAACCATCTAAGGCCTACCTATCATAAAATCTTAATCCCAACTAAGGGAAGGGACATCATAGAACCACTCCAGGACACAGAAATTGGGACAAGGTTGTAGATGAGCTGGTGATAATTAAGTACCTGTTCATCCCTCTTGGCTTTCATTTCACGCTCGGCTTCCTGATCTGCTGCTTTTAAGTCGGATAAATACTCATTGAATAAAGCCTCCCGATCCTCATGCTTTATAGTCTTGTACCTGGGATCATTCCTTAAACTGTCCTTAACCTGCAAACAGCAAAAAGCAACCATTGATGTACCCGCATGTATCAGATCTTAACTGAGAATAAACCATTTTATTATCTAGGTTGCTTCAGGTATAGGTGTTACATAACAAAGCAAGTCTGCAAATGATCGAGGGACAATTATTTCGACTGATTTCAGAGTGTTTCAAAAATAGTCAGCTGGGACTGGGGGCTTTTCCAAATCTCTTAAGCAATAGAGACCAAATTGTTAATCAGTCAGCAAACACTATTCAATTTTTCTTTCATTTGATGCCACCACTTAATTTAGAAAAGAGAAAAGTCCGTCTTTCAACTGAAAGAAAAATTAATTGGATTGCATGAATAAGTAAGAGTCTTTTCCTTAACTAAAAGGCTAATGCTGAAAGATATCCCATCTAAACCTAGAAGTATCACCCTCATAATAACCTTACCTTACCTCTCTTTCCGTCTCACATATGCTTAAAAATCAGAATCACAATTATAACATACCCTGGACCAACGTGAATGCACGGTTATATCTCCTCTTTCTCGGAGCATAGACTTGAAACCAGCAGCTACTGCTGAACGCTCGGCTTGAGCTTTTTCTCTTGCTGCCTTCCTCAAGTTAAGAACCCTAGTACCATAAAGAGTAACCAACATCAAGAAAGGACATAGGAAAAATAGAGAAGTGTATCAAATAATAAGAATATAATATACCATGCAAACGCAAAGAGACTAAAGACAAAAGGACAATCCCAAATTTAACCCAATAAGCAGGTCTCTAGCCCATGCTCACACATGTTGCTTCAATGAAAAGAACCTATTATCTGACCAGGGGAACGGTTTATGAAAAGAAGAAGCAAATTACCCAAACACCGACTTCATTCAGCTTTTGAAAGAAACGTTGCACATGCACCAGACAGAAAACAAGTTTTAAAAATGAAACGGGAGAGTTGCAAACAAAGCAAAGGAACATAAGAGTCGAAACTATTGGTAGACTCCCTTTCCCAAGGGATAAATACTCCTTTAAAGAAGATGATGTCCAATAATACTTGTGAAACAAGGTTCAGATGAGAGCGTTAAAATCTTTTTTAGGTTGTGAGCTTTTTGGGAACAATCTTGCTATTGTCAAAATCGATTCATCCTTATATCTTAGACATGTAAAATCGCCTGAATCATTTTCCAAGAAAGATTGCAGCTTGGAATTGTAACCAATATACTTCCATCATCTGCCAAATCTAACCCTGACTACAACTGAAATTAAAAACTTATCAAGTCAACTAATTTACAATTTGAACTTCCAAATGACCCCTCAGAATAGATTCTCAAATGAAATAGTACATCCAGATTCCAAGGACCTTGGGGGGAAAATCCAGTAAATACTATGCCAAAGGGAAAACGGTCAGTGATGTTTGAGGAGAATAACTAAACCCTTTCATGACAATGCATAAAGACACAAATGAGTTTCCAAGTAACAACTAGGGCATTTTATGCAAATCATCTGAGGCACTGAAAGGACAAGGATGTACACAACCAAACCATTAGACAATAATGACGCCAGACTCCTAGAAAGAAGCAACGACGAACCTAAAGATCATTCATTATAACCTAATAAGTAAGCATGCAATAAATAAACATAACAAAGGGCAAACAACCATTGGAGGCTGACTGGCTACATAAGATCCAAGTTGTCAGCAAATGATACCTTTCATTCAACAAATGCTCTCTGTCCTTACGGTCAAGGGCCTCGAACCTTGGGTCATTCCCCCACTTCTTCCGGAAAGTATAATAATCAGTATACTGGTCAATATCCTGAAAAATCCAAACATATCAGGTAAATTATCTATTTCTATACGATTTCAGAGCGAAAAGATTCCAACAGTTGAAGGAGATATGGCACTTCAATTCACTGCCATCAACGGGACCTCTGATGCTTCTTCTAGTAACTGCTTAAATCCGTCTACTGCAGCCTTCTGAGCTGCACGTTTCTCCTTGCGCTCCTCCTCAGCACGTGTTTTCACATAGTGCTCAAACAAGGACCTCCGAGCAGAATGACTTGGTATAGCCTGGAACAATATTGAACAAGTTTAACGGAATATGACAGAGTAACACAAAAGTAACTCATAATTAAAAGAAGAAGATATCATAAGATAGGAAAAGCACAAGAGACATCCTACATAATATGGAAAACCTAGAAGCTTCCAAGCAAATGGAGATCTAAGTACCACCACGGATAGAAATGAATCAGTTCATGGTGGTGAGCACACAGAATCCAAAACCATGTACACGAGAGTGAAAGGAGTACAGCAGAAAGGATGATATGCATAGACAAATAGCCAACAGAAACATAGTCACTATCATATGGAATCGAAAAAGTTTATTCGGCTAATGCTGTCTGTTAAAACAGCATTCAATCAAACAAACTCCTATTTTTTCTCAAGTTAACTAACAATCTTCAGTCATTTATTGTGATTAATTTAAAATACATCAACAACAGACTCCGCATTGCATAAAGCAACAAGATGGCCCTAGTGGCTGCTTGTTCACAAGTTTAAGAACACATGATTCAGACGCCAATATACTGAATATAACTTGAATATGTAGGAGTGGCTTAATTAGATAAATTCTATAAGGTTCTAGGTGACACGAAAATCCATACCCAAACTTCATAGACAGAAATCCACCAAACATGCTTCAAAGAGGTTCGGTACACTACAAGTAATGAACAACACTGATCATAATTACTTAGGCTCGGCAAACCTTAAAACGTGGATCAAACACAATCTTCGGCAGCTCCTTCTCCCATTTTGAGAATGGTGCCACCCCTCTTTCCTTGAGCATCTCCTGCGCATTACAGAAAGGGGGAATATATTATAGCGTCTACTGCTGCTTCAGCAACCATAGTTAGCAAAATTAAGGGCATACAGTTGACGTTTTCTGATTCCCTAAATATTGCTGAATCCAGATGAGGGGGGAAAACACACACCTTGAATTGTAC